GGGGCCCGGGGAGATCGCGAGGGAGCCGAGGAGCCCACGCAGGCAGGCCGACGATGATCCCAGAACGGCTCGCAGAGCACCTCGGGATCGGAGCAGAGACAGGACACCATGCCGCCTTTCTCGAAGGCGCCTGCGGCGAATCGCCGCCGCCCCCTGCGTGTTAGGATACGCTCATGTGGCCAAACGTTGGGGTACAGTTTGGCCACGCTGTTGGACCATGCGTTCCCCCAGCCGTTGTGAAAGCATGTTGCAGAACATGGGGGGGAGGAAGAGGAGGATGAGGAGAGGGAGGAACACAAGGATGAGGAGAAGGATGAGGGACCTCTTGAGAGCTTCTTGGGTCATTCTTGGGCCTTGGGGCCTCCTGGGAGCTTCCTGGGGGCCTCTTGGGGGCCTCTTGTGGCCCTCATTGGCAGTCCTACGGCGTTCCTGGCCCGTCTGACGCCGTCGGAAGCCGTCTTGGGAGCCTCATTGGGCCGTCTTGGGGCCTTCTTGGGGCGCTTCAGGGTCAACCTGCCATCTTGGGTGTCTTGGAGGCCTCTGGGGCCGTCTCGGGGCCCCTTTGGGGGCCGTTTTGGAAGCTTCTTGGGCCATCCTGGGGCCATCTTGGAGGCCTCTTGGGCGATCTTCGGGCAATCTTGGCCTTCAATAGCGTAAGGGAAGTGAATCAGTTTGGCCTCTTCGGGCCTTCCCAGAGGACCTCTTGGAGGCCTCTTGAGCCGTCTCAGGGGCCTCTTGGGGACTTCTTGCTCCGTCGTGGGCCCTCTTGGTCCCATCTTGGCGGTCTTGGAGGTACCGTGGGACAGTCTTGGAGGCTATCTTGGGGCTATCTTGGGCTCTCTTGGGGTCACCTTGCCCGTCTTGGAGGCATCTTGGAGGCCATCTTGCCCGCCTAGGAGGCGATCGGGCCAATGCAGTTGAGTTCTGTCGGGCCAATGCAGCCTTGCCGGCGGGTTTGGCCGAGACCCCATTCGGAGTTCTAAATGAACCAAGAAGCAATAGAAGCCCAGCACGCCGCGCACCCTTGTGGCAAGCCACAGGGCGCTGCGGACCTGGGCGCCGTCGGCCCATCCCCGCCACCGTGCCTGGCTCGTGGGCCAGGGGCCCTCGGAATGCCCGGAGACCAGGTGCGCAGGCACTACCTCACGGCGTTCTCCAACGCCTTCCGCCTCCCGGGGCCCCGCTGGAGCTCTCGGAGGCTTCTCGGGGGGCCTCTTCGGGCCTGCGGTGACCTTGGCATCGCTCGGACGTGTGCATTTTTCCTCGGCGAGGACCATCGAGGAGCATCCTTGATCATTTGACGAACAAAAACCACGACAAAACCGAAAACAAAAACACAGGAATGGACGTCCGAGCGATGGCCGGTGACCGGTTGGGCCTGCTCTGAAAGGGTTTGGGCGCGCCCAGCGGCCGGTGCTGGGGGCCAGCGCTCTGCCGGCCTGAGCCGTCTGGGGGCCGAGAAGAGCGCTGGAGAGTACGGTCGGGGCGTTGAACTAAGGATTTTTTTTATTAGGCAGCATAGAGGACCACTTCGTGAAATGTTCACGTGCTTGTGATAAATACGTATACTACACTCGAGAGCTGTCAGGTCACTAGTGCCTCGCTGTCACGCCGCAGAGCGTGATCCCACAATGGGTAGTATGCAGTCCCCCCGATGAGAACTGAGAACGGGGCCCCAAATAAGGAACGCGGCCCCTTTCCCCATGAGTCAAGCTTCGATCTCCCATCGAAAACCTAAGGAGCACCTGAGGCAAACTGTGAGACAATGCAGGAACACGGCGCCCCTCCCCAACGAAAAGGGTTCCTTCTTCAGCGCCCCGACGGTACGACATGTTCCAAGACCCCCTCGAGTCAGGAACAAATCACGGCGGTAGGTTTTTCTGTATTTTCTGCCTCCAGGGTCCTTTCCTGGGCCTCGGGACCGTCAGAAAACGACTCGGGATGAGACACAGGTCCCGGGGCAGGGGTCGAGACCTCTGAGGGTCGACGTTATGAACAAATCATGACGTCGGGGGTATGGGCACTACAGGGGGGGGTATCATGGTGTGGGCCATGATATCTCGTCAGATTTCACGGCAGGGGTGGACCTAAACGGTGTTTTGGCGTCAAAAGCGGATTGAAGACAAAACGCGGGAAAACCAACACAAAACGAAAACGAACAGCACCGTTTAGGTTCAGCCCTATTTCATGGCGCCGCCTCGTATTTCACTGCGCCCCTGCCCCCCGCCCCCCCCCCCCTGGGCCGCGCACATGCCGCCGGCGATGATTTGCGCCCCCCCCTCTCGGTGGTGGATGATAGACCTCCTACCCTGACACGCCGATTAGCGAGTTGGCCGTTTTCGGTTCGCGAGAGGCCGTCGCGGCCGTCATTCTTGCGGGCCCAGGTCCGTCGGTTTCGGTCCCAGGCCGTTTCCATTCAATGGAGGTTTACTAGAGGGAGGTCTGTCCACCGCCGACTTGGACGCCCCCCCCCCCCTGGCCGCCCCCGACATGTGGTGGCTTTTTTGAGTGAGGGCGGTGGGCTACCCACAGAACGCTGCAGAAGCCCAACCAGACAGCAGACGAGGGTTCCTCAGGAGGGAAAAAACACACAGACACAATTCATCCCCGATTCCCCTGAAAATATGGGAAAATATGGGAAGTGGGGGGGGGGAAGACAGAAACCCAGAAAAGGTGGGACAGTATGGGGAATCTTTTTATTTGTGTGTATTTATCTGTGTGTGTCCTTGGGCCCCTTGAGAGGTGGGCTGCCCACAGAACGCTGCAGAAGCCCAACTAGACAGCAGACGAGGGTTTCGGCGCGGTCCGAGGTGCCAAGGGCACGGGGGCGCAGTTGGTCTGTTCTCCGTGCGCCTGCACCTGGCATATCAAGCACTGGCTCGAGAGGCGAGGCTGTCCAATTTAGCCTGCATGTTGTAGCGCTCTTGACCTCCCTGTCGCTCCAGTTCTCAATGCGAGCAGATAGCCGATGTGCTGGATGGAGGCCTGCTCTCGCCGCATGGAGTGTGGCGCTCGTTCTCCTGCTGAACATGTTTGCCATGATCCGGATCCGAGGTTTCGACGAGTCTGGGTACAGCGCTGATTACAAGATTGGGCAGCTGCTGAAGCAGAACTCTCAGCTACAACAGCGGGTCGCTGAGATGAGGGCGACATTGAATTCCTCCTTCTCTTCCGCATCGGGCGAACTCGTTCCGTTGGGCGGCACTGGGCCAACAGAATCGATTGCGAAGCTTCAGGGGGAGGAGGGACATCCTCAGATGGCCACCAGAGATCGTCGGCTCGTTTCACAAGTTCGTGGTGTAGTCACAACGAACACGGCTACGAGCGGATGCTTTGCGTTCACTAGTGCGCAAGATGACAACGCGATAGGAAACGCAGCTGGAACTGCGAACGTTTACACATTCCAAGTGAACTCGGCAACTTGTAGGGATAGTAATCGATGTCCCACCTGTTATATTGCAACCTCTCTTTCCGCAAATGGTTTCATCGTGATACGCTCTTGCTCGTACGCGTACATTGCAGGGACTGCCATCGCAGACCAGGCTATAGAGTATACTTTCATCAATGCGGACTCGACGTACACGTTGTCGGTGTATTTCGCGGATTCGGCTGGAAACCCTCTGAACGGTGTCCACAAGGTGATCTCCCCCAATTCATTCAGCACGGGCACCTGCTACGCAAGTGGGGTCACGCGCACCAGCATAGGACAGTGGCTGGGAGCCACGACGGCGAATCGCTGAGCACATGTTGCCACCAAGCCATGCTGCGCCTGCGCTCGCTTCCCAGCCCAAACCGGGAGAGGAACCACCTCCCTGGGCAGTCTCTCCTTACCATCCCCTCTCGCTGTCTCCCGTGCTTCGAGCGCAAGCCGTACCTGCATCCTGTCACGTCTCACAGTTTCCTTTGCCCAGCGCGCGTGCTGTTTCGCACCCTCCGGCCCGGCGCACCGACGGAGATCCCTCTTGCCGCGCCGCGGTGCCTGCACCCGTCCCGAGAGAGGGGGTGGGCCTGTGGGTCAGCTGGCGATCGCACGTTCGGGAGCGAGCGGGCTCGAAGCTCAGCAGTGGTGTAGGCGCTGCTGTGTACCCCGCTTCCTTGCCCAGCTGAAGAAGTTCAGGCGAGTAAAAGGTGCCGATACAGCTGCTCCTCTTGGAGAGGCCTAATCGGCACGACCGGATTCCCCTCGACACTTTGGTCAGAACGCGCCCCAGGAGAGGTCCGAGGAGTACCCATGTTCGCTCCCCCAGGAGAGGGCAGCAGCATCAAGCAGTATGTCCAGCATGTGGGACGCTAAACCCCGAGGGGATACCCCTGAGTGCTGCCACTAGGGAGCCACATGCGAACCCTACCCCTACCCCCTACGATTTCTGAGGGGGAGGGTGGGGTTCACTCCATTCGGGAGCTCCCGAGCGAAGTGAACCCCACCCTCCCCCTCAGAAATCGTGATGGGTAGGGGTAGGGTTCGGATGTGGCCCCCTAGCCACGGGGGCAGGAATGCTCCGGTTGCCTTGGGGACGGGGGCCCCCGCCGGGTAGACCAGCTGTTGCCAGCAGCCTTTCGCCCGCCGATGGCCTGCTGCCGCCCCGTCACGCTGTGACATGCACTCTGCCGCCGTCGGGGGCGACTCCTCCTCCTCCTCCTCCACCTCCTCCTCCTCCTCCTCCGCCTCCTCCTCCTCCTCCTCCTCCTCCTCCTCCTCCTCTTGGAAAGTCTATACCCCTGCGTGGCACCGCAGGGGCAGAGGCTTTGTAGCCGCCCGGGGGGCAGGCGTCCCCGGCGGCGGAGAAGGTTTCTCTCGTGCCAGTCTTCGTCCCGTGAGCGGCCTCCGAGAGAAGGCGGCTCCCAGGTGCCAGGCATCTCCCATGCGGGCGGCCTCTCATTCTCGAGCTGTGATGCCGTTGGCTTGGGCTCCACACGGCTCGTTCTCCACATCCTTTTCATCTACGAGCCTCTTCACTGCACTTCTATCCGGCTTCCCTCCGCTACAGGTCACAGACCTGATGACTGCAGTGAGGAAGGTGCTCAAGAACGCCCTGGTCGTGGACGGCGTCATTCGAGGTCTGCACGAGGCGGCAACCGCAGACCTCCGCGAGCGAGCCGCAGATGTCAAGCGGAACCGAGAGCCTCGCTTTGTGACTTGGCTCCCACCCTCAGAAGTCGGCCCCCGAGATCTTTCCTGGAGCACTGGACCGCGCTACGGCCACGGTTTTCCTTAGGATCGGCCCCCCCAGATGAATCCAGCTGAACTCCTCCCCCCCTTCCCCCCGCCCAACACCCAGCAGCACGAACGAGGGAGAATGAGGAAGCACGAGTGCGAAGGATCCCCCCCAATACCGCTCCCCATGCCCAGCATTCGATCGCCAGGCCATATCCCGACATGGCACCACCGACGTGCGTGACGTCAAAGCCGCTGGCACGCCGCCGCATTAAATGCGTGGTCGTCGTGGTCGTCGACCGCGTCCTCCTTCTCAACCTCCTACCCCCTCACGGATCTTCCTCCTTCCCCTTTCACCTCCTCGTTATGTCGCTCATGCGCTCCTCTTGTATGAAACAGCTATCCGTCTTTATTCCTACACTGTGAATAAAGACGGATAGTTGGACGCATCCATCTCGCCTCTAGGGCTAGGGCGCCCTGATTTCTTGGAGTTCGATGGTTTTGCCATAGAAAGCGTGGCGTTCCCACACCAAAAGTCAATGGACGTCCTGGGGTCTCAGGGTTGTGTTTCCTGTGGAAGGTTTCGTGTGTACTGGCCTGCACTGTACTGTCTTTCCTCCTCCGTTCTCATCCCGCCCCTCCTTTCTCTTTCTGTTTCCCCCTCTTCCTGTCTCCCATCCTGCTCCTCCTTCCGCCCTTCTCTTGTGCAAGTTGCTTCTCCCTGTCGCATCCCGAGGCGTGTCGGCAGGACTGGCCAGGCGTTTCGCCTGAGATTGCCCCAGATGCTTGTGCCCCTGGAGCGTACGAGTTGCCGCAGCGTCACGGCTGGAGGCGGGGTGGCTCTCGAGATGTGGCGCTCGCCTTAGACCCGCGCCCTTTCGTGATACGAGTCGGCACATCTAGCATGTGTATACGTATCGGATTGATGCGGGCCGTTTTCATTCTCCAGATTTCGTAATAAAGGGAGGGGGGTCTCATTTCGGGGGGGTCTCTTCCAGGCTATCTTGGAGGGCCTGGGGGGTCTGGGGACGATGTTTTGGAGGGTTCTCCCACGGGGGAGGTCTGAAATGGCTTGTCTTGGAGGGTCCAGACCCCCTCCCTTTTATTACGAAATCTGGAGTATACGTATCCGATTGAGGCGGGCCGTTCTCAGAATGCGGTTCTTGCCTTCGCGCCGCGCACATGCGTCTCAACCACTTTGCGGGACCTGCACGGAGGGAGGGCGGCTCCTTTTGCAACGCGCGGCTCTCTCGTCGCAAAAGCACCGCGCGGGTCCGTCTTTAAAAAAAGGGCGCAGGGCCCTCACAGAAGGAGGGCACCAACTATACACCAACACCGATCCTGGCCCAGGATCACCCTGGGCCCAGGATCGGTGTATATGCCTTCTTGCGCAAGGCAGGAGGGCGTATACACCGATCCTGGGCCCAGGGTGATCCTGGGCCAGGATCGGTGTTGGTGTATAGTTGGTGCCTTCCTACACAAGGAGGGCGGCGCCTTTTCCGCAGATGTGGTTCTCGCTTCGGTGCCGCGCGCATTTGTGGCTTCAAACTTAAAGCATCATCAAGCGCTGCACGGGCTTTTGGGGATGAATGAAGTCCAGGAGCGGTGCTCCTGCAATCGTCGGGACTGTCGGGGCGCAACGGTCACGGCGTTTCGCGGTTTTGAATTCCCAGGGATTGCGTCCTGGCGCGATTCAGGATCGTTAAGACGCAACCGTAACATTGATTCGCGGCGTTGATGTCCCAGGAATGGTGTTTTGGCACGGTTGATGATTCTCACACGGTTCCATCTGGAGCCTGGCAAGCTTGTCCTGGCACTCGGCAATCTGCTTGTCCAATGAAGCCACGAACTTCTCATTCTTGGAAAGCGAATCTTGAGCGTCACGACGCTGCAAAAGAGGGAGCGAGTCCTTGACCGACTCGACCGAAGACTTGACACACGTAGCCGTCTTCTGGATACTTGCAGCGAGCGCGTCACGCTCTGGGAATTCTTCTTTGAACTGTACCATGAGCAGGGCCATCTGGGCAAGCATGGCTGCGGGAGTACGGGGCGGCGCGAGGGCACCTCCTTTGCCACCCTCACTCCCACCTTTCCCACCACCCTTCTTGCCCTTGGCCCCCTTTTTGTCCCAACTGTCAGCCTTGGGCGGACCGTACTGCCATTGACCACCAGGCTGACGAGCAGCAATAGGGTCAACAGGAGCCACTTGACGAATGGGAGCCCAACAGTTCGCACACCATTTGTACCACGGCTTGTTGCACTTGATCGCGCCACACGCCGTACACTTTGCCCCACCATCGCCTGGGGCCATGGGACAACTCTGGAGAAAGAGGGAGACCCTGGCAGCGGGGCGCTGCCACCAGGGAGGAAAGATGTCGGACTGAACAGTCCTAGCTCTGCCGCGGACTAGCGGTATCCGTGAAAGCCAATGCGGGCACAGCCCGCCAAAGCAAAAAACCTTGAGCCAAAATGGCTACGGACAGGAGGAGGAAGAGGAGGAGGAGGAGGAGGAGGAGGAGGAGGAGGAGGAGCCAGGAATGGGTCGAGAGCTCTGGGGGTCGTCGCTCTGACGCCCCAGGCGAAGCCTGGATTCGGACCCTCCCCCGCGCCGAACCCTGAGAGCCTTGTCACACCGGGCACTTCCGCTCCATTCCGGGCCCCGCGGGACCCTGACCTTCCAGGAGGGCCAAAAAATAGCACCCGACCTAAAAACCTATCCCAGAGTTATTCTACGTCTTGGTTTTAGGCTGTTTCGTTTAGTTTTTTAGGTTTTTAGGTATCCAGTGCAACAAAAATAGCTCTCTGGAACGTCAGGGGACCTTCACAGATGCGTCCGGCTCGAAAATGACGCAGAAAGACTGGCTCTGGGCTCTGGTCGGGATTTTCTGCCATGCTACACTTGTTGGAACGTCGGATCTCATGGGGGCTCCCTGAGATTTCTCCCGTGCGCCAGCGATCTGGCTCGAGGAATGGCGCAGAAAGATTTACCAGTTTGTGAGGGCCTATCCCTCACAAGGATTCCCTCAGTTTTGTGATTTCCTATCCCAGTTTGTGTGGCGATCTTAAGGATTCCCTCAGTTTCTGAGGGCCTATCTTCAAGATTGTCCTCGCTTTTTGCTCGCCCATCTTAGGGATAGGGATAGGTTCGAGGCTGGTTAAAGATGCAATCCAGGGCTCTGGTCGCGATTTTTTGCGATGTCGCAGTGTTCTGTTGTGCCACGTCGGATCGCAGGGGGTTACCTGGGTGCTCCCCCGTGCGCCAGCGCCACCCGCAGTGCTCCCGATGCTCGGACCGGCCCTCGCGTGAGGTCGGGCATGTTTTTTTCTACGGGAAGGCTGCTCGATTACACCTGAGGAAACCCCAATCAGTGGATGATTTGGAAATTCGTCGTATGGATCTTGAGTTCGATTGTGAGATCGATTATGAGATCGATCGTGGAATCGAAGGAGGACGATTGTAAGGTCGATCGTGAGACCGAGAGTGACATCGATTCAATGAGATCGATAGGGAGATCGATCGCGAGATCGCTCGTGCGATCTCTAGTGAGCTCGCTTGTGAGATCGATGGTGAGATCGATTGTGAGATCGATGTTGATATCGATAGAGAGGTAGGAAATAAGATCGATGGTGAGACCGATCGATAAGAAGATCGACCAGGAACCAGGGAACCTGGGAACCTCGCCGCCCACCGAAATCGGCCCCGAACCCGGAACCGGGAAGCCGGGAACCCGAAACCGCGTGCGACCAAAATCAGTGGGAAATGTTCGCCAAATCCTTCAACCTCCGCTACGACCCCTTCAGTGCAAACACTGATTGGGGAAAATAGTCCCCAAAAATACGGGACGATTTTTGATTGTTACGATATACGCTTACATCTATATATATATATATTTATTTAAATTGTTTTTTCTGATTTTTCATGGTTCCTTCAACATCCACCTGTAGGAGGACATGCCCGACCTAACCCTCGTGGGAGGCCACATCTTGCACCGCTCCGTCTCTCCCGCCAGATCACTGCGGAGGCCTCCTTGGTGATTTTCGGCGTCTGGGGGCCCTTGCCAGGCCCTGGGGCACTCGGGACCCAGACCCCCTCGAATCATGGAAAAATCGCGACTGGAGGTTTTTCGTTATTTTCGACCCCGGGCCCTAGGGGACCTCGCGGGGCCTCGGGACCGTCAACAAAACGACGCAGGATGAAAAGCCGGTCCTGGGGAATGGGTCCAGACCTTTTTGGGAGTCGCGTCATCTAAAAATCATGACGTCGGTGGTCTGGGGAGGAAGCGCAGGTCCCTGGGAGGAGGGTCGGGGCCGCGTGGGGAGGCACGTCCTTCCAGAGTCGGAGCGGCCCAAGCAGGCGTAGGAAGAGCAGGCAGGAAGACCGACAGCTGCATCGGCGATGCGGTTCGATGTGGAGAACGATCTTCTCCACGCCGACGTCGCCGATGCCTCGCCGACGCCTCGCCGATGCATCGCCGATGCGCCGCCGATGCATCGCCGATGCACCGCCGATGCATCGGCGATGCGGCGCGATCCTGCGACCCCGTCCACTCGGACCCCATCCATGAAGCCTCCCTCAGCCACGCGCAGGGGGGGGGAGGGGGGAGGGGGGAAGGCCTCTTAGGGGCACCCCTGCTTCCAAGAGGCCTTCCCTCCTCTCCCTACCCCCCTGTGCGCGCCGCCAGCTCTACTTGAACAGGGTTCGCCGTCGGCGCCACCACGGGCGTTGGCAGCTCGGGGGGCGAGCGTCGCCCGCCCGACGGAGGCAACTACTGGTTTCGGGCAAGATCCTGCGGTGGGCCTCGTGCCCGCTTCCCCTGCCCATCCGAGGCGTTCCAGCAAAGGACCTTGCTTTTGAGGGTCGAAGGAGTTGGCATCTCTTCCTCGGCGGATGCCGGCGGAAGGGCGGCGGAGGGTCGGCGGAGGTAGAACGAGGCCGCCTCCGCCGGCGGAAGCTGGCGGCAGGGCGGCGGGAGGTGGCGGCAGTACAGCATACGCCCCGAAGAAATGACCACATTGTTGGGTTCATGGTTTCCGGAATGCGCCACTTCGGGCGCGCCCACACAGGCCACCCTTACCCCGCAAGCGCGTTGAAAACGATTCGAAAGCGCTTTCCCACCACCCTCCCTACGATAGGTTCGTGCGGCGATGGCGCGCTGGCGACGCCAGCGAAGGCGTTCAAGATGGAGTCCTGCGACGCGGAAGCACCGATAGACACGGTAACGGCACTGGACCTGACTGAATTCAATATTGACCGATTTGGGCCGCGATCGGCTGGTTCCAGGTTGACATAGGGGAACGAAGAATGACCTTAAACATGAAAATTCGGAGGTCCGCGCGGATTTCTTGGATCCGCGCTGGACCTCCCTGGCGGCGCCTCTGGCGCCGGCGCCGCCCAGCCGAGAAGTCCGCGCGGACCTCCGAGTTTTTCTGGTTACGGCATCCTTCGCCCTTCTATCGGGGAAACGTAAAACTCGAGTAAGCCGGAACTCGGGTTTGCCGACTTTTTTTTTGACGAGCGCGTCCTGGGTTTTGACGGCCCCGTTTTCGTGGGATGTCTGCAGCGGGAGCCCGCGTCAAATTTCAGATTGGGTCTCGTCATTTTTATGATGGTCCCCGTCAGGCCAACCCGAGTCCCCCGTACCCGAGTCTTACGTCTCCCCGACTCTAGGACGATCGGCGCGGTGTCACGAAGCCTCCGCGCGCGTCGACGCCGCGCGAGCCTGCCGTGCCAGGTGGCGAAGCACATCGACGCCGGCAAGGCGCAGGCCCTCTGTGCGCCGGGCACGGGGCGCGCGGCTCGGGAGGGGCCTCCTCCTCCTCCTCCTCCTCCCTCCTCCTCCTCCTCCTTCCTCCTCCTCCTCCTCCCTCCTCCTCCTCCTCCTCCTCCTCCTCCTCCTCCTCCTCCTCCTTCTCCCTCCTCCTCCTCCTCCTCATCCTCCTCCTCCTCCTCCTCCTCCTCCTCCCTCGGGAGGTGCGGTGAGGGGCCCGGGCCCCCACCGCAGCGCACCCCAGATGTAAGTCGGGCATGTCCCTCTACGGGAGGAGGGGTCAAGCATTGTCAAAACATAGTTGGTCAGGGGACGACGTTTCGAGACTTCTGTTGCACATGCTGTTTGGAGCATGTTCTGAGTATTCGTTACTTGCCTCCAAAGTCCGCCTGTGGGGGACATGCCCGACCTGACCCCAGATGTCCAGCGCAGAGGAGAGCATCGCTACATGTCTAGGCCTCCCCGATGGGGTCGGAGTACATGGAGTCGGGGGATCGCGCCATTTCGCCGATACTTCGACGATGCGGCTCGATTTGGAGCCTGGTTTTCTCTCCACGCCGACGCTGCCGATGCATCGCCGACGTCGCCGATGCATCGCCGATGCATCGCCGATACATCGGCGATGCATTGGCGATGCGGCGCGATCCTCCGACCCCTATGTTCTCGGGCCCCCATCCTGGAGGCCTCTGACGTATGAGGCGTTCCGGAAAGGGCCTCGCCTTCGAGGGGCGAAGAGGTTGCCATCGCTTCCGTGGCAGGAGGCCACGGAAGGGCGGCGGGAGCTGGCGAAAGGGCAACGGGGGCGGCTCCACCGGCAGAAGAAACACGTTGCCTTCCATCACCACCCACCAAACCACCCCAACCCAACCCGAAGGCTCAGACTTACCCTCGATGTCTAGTGGGGGGGGGGTCCAGGAACATTGGAAAAGCACACATGGAGCTCATACCCCCCCCCCAGCCCGAAATTCGGGTCTTCGGGTTGGGCTGGGGTGGTCTGGTAGGCAGTCCTTCCCAGAGGTGACAGCGCTTTTTGGCTTCAGGGGTGCAGGAGCCCGCCGCCCGTGTCCCTCCAGCTCCGGCGCCCAGGGCGGCCGCTCTCAGGCCCCATGCAGGGGCGCGAGAAGCGCGGCGGCCCGTGGGCGAAGCACGGGCGAGGGATGGCGTCGAGAGTCCGTGGGCACGGTTGCCAGCGCTGGAGCACACAGGAGAAGCCGCAGGACCGCAGGAGGGGGGGCGCCGCCCACCCCCCCGCTGGAGGGTTTCTCCGAGGGGCTTAGGCGACCCCTCCTCCTCCTCCTCCTCCTCCTCCTCCTCCTCCTCCTCCTCCTCCTCCTCCACCCTCCTCCTCCTCCTCCTCCTCCTCCTCCTCTCCGCCTCCTCCTCACCTCCCCTCCTCCTCCTCCTCCTCCTCCCTCCCTCCTCCTCCTCCTCCTCCTCCTCCTCCTCCACCTCCCCCTCCCCTCCTCCCCTCCTCCTCCTCCTCCTCCTCCTCTCCTCCTCCCCTCTCCTCCCTCCCTCCTCCTCCTCCTCCTGCACCTCCTCTCCTCCTCCTCCTCCTCCTCCTCCTCCTCCTCCTCCTCCTCCTCCTCGGGTCGCCTACGGCCCTGGGGGTAACCGTGCGACCCCCCCGCTCTTCCTCGCCGCCCTCTGCGTGCCGCAAGTCGTCGGTGCAGCGCGGCCTGGTTCAGGTTCAGTCGGGCACGTCCCTCTACAGTCGGGGGCGGCAAAGAGGGGGGTGATGGGTGATGACTAGGGGGGGGTGGATATCATGGCGGGGGCCATGATATTTCCCCAGGTTTCATGGCGCCTTCTCTTATTTCATTACGTCCCTGGCCCCCCCGCTGGGCCGCGCACATGCCGCCGGTCATGATTTGCACCCCCCCCTCTTGGACACCCCCCTCTTGGCCGCTCACGATACGGGGGGAATATTCAAAAATAATCCAAAAATAGTCTGGGGACGATTTTGTTGTAAAGTTATGTTGTGTGACTATTTTGGTGTATTTGTTTTGATCAGTTTCGAGTTGTCGTCCAGCCTGTAGGAGGACATGCCCAGCTTAAGGTTATGGGCCAGTGTGCTGCGCGTGCACCGGCGACCGACAAAAAGTGGCTGCGCGTGTACGCGACAGCCCGTTTGGCTGGCCCGACAGCGCGCGTGCGGGCCGACTCTGCCGCGCTGCGACATGAGAAAAAGTGTACTCCACCCTCCTCCTCCTCCACCTCCTCCTCCTCCTCCTCCACCACCCTCCTCCTCCCTTCTCTCCTTCTCCTCCTCCTCCTCCTCCACCTCCCCCTCCTCCTCCTCCTCCTCCTTCTCCTCCTCCTCCTCCTCCTGCACCTCCTCCTCCTCCTCCTCCTCCTCCTTCTCCTCCTCCTCCTCCTCCTCCTCCTTCTCGGGTCGCCTACGGCCCCGGGGGTAACCGTGCAACCCCCCCGCTTTCCCTCGCCGCCCTCCGCGTGCCGCAAGTCGTCGGTGCAGCGCGGCCTGGTTAAGGTTAAGTCGGGCACGTCCCTCTACAGGGGGACTATTCAAAAATAATCCAAAAATAGTCCGGGGACGCTTTTGTAAAATAGTCTGGGACGACGACGCAGAGGGGAGCGACAGATCGGAGACCTAGAGGTTGACACCAGCACCAATAATAAAGACGGGGTGGCTCCACCGAGGGCAGATGATCCCGATCTCGGTGATGGTGGTAATATTCGGGCTGTCCAGGTTCGGGTATAGCCAGGACCCTGGTGAAGGGGAGCCGGTTAGTGATTGGGCCCCGAAGCCCAAGATATGGACTGGAATCACTAAACCAGGTCTGCCGTAGCTGGTCTTTTTCGGGCGACGGCAGTTCCGGTTAGTGGAACGGGGCGGGGGTGGCGTCCCCCGGTACACGTCACCAAGCCAGGTCCCACTAAACCCAGTCCTGCCAACGCCCGACAGGTGGCTGGAATATTACCACCAACGCCAGAATCTAGGACCATCTTGCCCCAGTGGAGGCAGTTCCCTGTGCTGGTGCTGGTGCCCTTTTCCTGGTCTCCAAGCAGAGATGACAAGGGAGGCGGGACTGACAGGAGTCGGCGACGAAATCCGAACACTACCCTCGCCGATCAACGATTCAGGCAACCCGATGGGCGGCGGGGGGCTTCCCGGAGTTCGTCGAACACATGGCGAAGTCCGAAACCTACCCACGCCTCTCATCGATCCGGGAGAATCGATGGTTAGTGGAGATAGGGTTCGGATGCCGCTAGCTCACGAGGGAGAAGCAGGGAGGTGGGGAGAGGGAAGAGGGAGTAGTGATAGTCGGTCCACCGAGGGGGCGCTGTCGTGGCGACAGGCACGCCACGCCGAGCCGACTTGTCTGCTCGGGCGAGACTGAAGTGGGCGAATTGCGTAACCTAGAAACCACAACTTGGCCGAACTATCTGGGAGCTGGCAACCCGCAAGTCTCTGTGAGGCTTTCCTGTCGCTGTCGGCGCGGGGGGATGAGAGCAGCACTGTGGAGGAGGATTAGGGGGAGGAGCAGGCAGGGTGAGGAGGACGCGGAGCCTGAGCCACTTTCGCAGTCCAGACCGCCCTCTGGAAAGGTGGTCTTCTTGGCGGAGTCCTGCAACGAGGCGACCTACAAGAAGCTCGTGCAAGGACAGGGGGAACGCGGGAGGCAGGAGGAGGAGGAGGAGGAGGAGGAGGACGGAAATGGGGAGGACTAGGAGAGGGCCAGGCTGCGTTATTGGTTCTGCATTGCGCCCCCCTTCCGTCCCAGACCCCCTTCTCATTAGCCCCCGCAAGCAATCTTGGTTCACTGCGAATAGGCTCCCTGGAAGGACGAGCGGCCTGGCGGGCCGCGAGTCAGGTCCCAGCGTTTTTTTTTGGAACGCAGCTGCCCTCCGCTGTTCGACCGATGACAACTGCCCCACAAGGTAGGGTTATAAAGTTTAGTAGGCGCCCAGCGAACTCAGGAGGGGAAAAAACACACAGACACAATTAATCGTCGATCCCCAGAAAATATTGGAAAATATGGGAAGTGGGGGGAAGACAAACACCGAGAAACTATAGGAATATATGGGGAGTATGTTTATTTGTGTGTATTTATTTGTGTGTCCTGGGGCCCCTTCACGAACGCCCCTCCTTGAGAAGGGACCACCTCCGCCCGAGCAGTGGTTTCAAGAGGTTGGGCTTGTGACCGTATGCGCTGACGGAGTCAGTTCGGTCGCAAACCATGGGAGCCTGGTATAGCCTCTGAATTGGGTCTTTGGCGCCGACTTGGCGTAGGCTAGCGCAGATCAGCGTCGATTTAGCGTCGACTACAGTCGATTAGCGTCGATTTAGCGTCGATTGGCGTCGATTTGCAAGAGCCGACGAGATGGTATGGGAGGCCCCCTATGAGTTGCCACCAGGTAAGTCTCAAGCGAGGTCTTGGTTTCGAACACGAGTGGTCCTCCATCGGTGCAGTCAACAGCTGCGCGCTTCGGTTGGTCGTGGCAAGCGCGGATGTCCCAGGCGAGAGCCCAAGTTCGAGAAGGAGCCGCCGATCCTCTTTGCAAGTGATGTATCATATAAAAAACAAAAGAACAAACAGCACGTAACGAAGAAGGGGGCCTGCGCGGAGCAGAAGCGAGAGGCCAGTGCTGACAACGACTCGGCGAAGGCGCCGGGGACTCGCCGACGAGCGCGCGCGTCGCCCGAGGCGAGGGGCCCGCCCTCCGTCCGCGCATCCCTGCTGGAAGGCGCTGCGACGCGCGCGTGCGGCGCCGAGGCGAGGATCCTATCTCGACGGCGACGCCCCCCCTGCGTGTACAGTCGGGGGCGGCAAAGAGGGGGGGGATGACTAGGGGGGGGGGTGGATATCATGGCGTGGGTCATGATATTTCCCCAGATTTCAGGGCGCCTCCTCTTATTTCATTACGTCCCGGGCCCCCCCGCTGGGCCGCGCACATGCCGCCGGTCATGATTTGCACCCCCCCCCCCTCTTGGACACCCCCCTCTTGGCCGCTCCCGATACAGGCGGCCCCGATTAGCAGGTCGAGCCTGCCAGGTCAAGGGTACCCTCGTGTCCCGTGTCTTGCGGCCCATGCCTCCTGCACTTCTGTGGCAACGTGGCCCTCGGGAGGGTCTCGTGTCCTCTCGCGTGTCCTCTCCGATCGAGTCCGACTGTACTCCACATCCTTTATGAATCGTCCCCCGGGTCCGGTTTTTTAAGGCGCCTTTTTTGTATCTGGGGGGGGTTTCGGTTTACTAGGGCGTTTTGTTTGGATTGGAGCTTAGGGGGTCCGGTTTATGCAGGCGTCCCGTCGAAGAGGGGGGTCTGGAATATTAGGTCGCATTTGGAGGTGGGTCCAGTTTTTTAGGGAGGGTCGATTAAATAAGGGATTTGGAGTACTTGTTGGAAAAATCGGTCTGACGAGTGGGCGCGGCCTCCAAGGCGACGCCCCCCGTTTGACAGCGCCCCGCCCTCCCGCCGCGCAGGCTGTTGGCAGGCTCGAGCTCCAATACCGAACGCGGAGAGGCAGTCTGGGCGAAACGCCCGGACCGCATCACCGCCACGCCTCGTGGCGCGAGAGAGTGCTCAAAGGAGGAGCAGGTACCCATGCCGCTGCACTTCGCTCGTTTCTCCCCTCTCGGGCCTCTCGGGAGGCTCTCGTCGCCACCCCTGGTTTCTCCTCGAGATCTGGTCAGAACGCACCCCGGGAGAGGCCCGGGGAGTAGCGGTATCGGCACTGTTTTGGTTCCCCCAAGTGAGGGAGAGGGAATTACGAGCATTCTGAATTCGCAGGGATGGAGGCGGAGGAGGAGGGAAGTCACATTGGTGTCACCTCACGACGCGATGGCGAAGCTGGCCGGCGCGGGCGTTCAAGATTCAAAGGCCCCCGCGGGACTTTTAGGGAGCAGCTCACGGCGCGGAGTGCAAACGATAGGTGGG